GTTGGAAAAGACCCCAAGGGCCATCCAGTCCAACCTCATTCTGCCATGTAGGAATCCGTCAAAGCACACTCGACAGATGCTCATCTAGCTTTTCTTTTAAAACCTCCAAAGAAAGAGATTTCATCAGTTTCGGAGGCACCATCTTCCACTGTTGAACAGCTCTTACTGTCTTCCTGATGTTGAGATGGAATCCTTTTTCCTGTAGTTTACATCTGTTGCTCCATGTCCTGTTCTCTGGAACAGCACAAAACAAGCTTGCTCCATCCTCAATATAACAAATTTTCAAATATTTAAACAGATTCATGTCATAGAATCACAAAGTTTGAAGTTTCCTCAAGGGTCATCCAGTCCAATCCTATTCTGCCATGCAGGAATACACATTCAAAGCACTCCCAACAGATGGCCAATCCAGCCTTTGTTTAAAAATCTCCAAAGAAGGAGACTCCATCACACCCCAGGCAGTGTTTTCCACTGTCGAACAACTCTTATCAGAATGTTCTTCCTAATATTTAAGTGGAATCTCTTTTCCTGTAGTTTGCATCCATTGCTTTGCATCCTAGTCTCTGGAGTATCAGCAAAAAAGCTTGCAGGATCTGAACAGAGTGGTTGAGAATAGGACACCTTGGAGATGTCTCATTCATGGGGTTGCCATGAGTCAAAGTCAACTCAATGGCGGTTAAGAGCAAACCTGGGTTAATGGTACATGTGATCCTGGACTTATTTAACATGGGCTTTGGTGCCAGATGTAGGAATAATGTGGAAAGAATGGGGATAAGTTCCTGTACCACAAAAAAGAAGAGCAGGCCAACATGTTTCGGCAAACTTTTCATTTGAAACGAATGATATGCACATGTGAAATGAAACAGCTGGGTCAAGTAAGCCTTGCATAAGAAAAGAAAGACATTTTGAAGCTTCTAAAAGCCACTTGAAAGCGTCTTCAAAAATGCATCCTGGGATGATGGGCTTTTCCTTTCAACAACCTCCATTTTTTAAAATGATTTCTATTTAGGTGGTGAAACTTAGCAAATATACTCAACTAAAAATCGACCTCATGTATACGTCGAGGACAGGTTTTGAAGCCAGAATTCTGGATTTTGAGATGACCTGTGGATACATCAAGGTTAAAACATAGGGCCATATAACAAAAGAAAACAATGCCAAAAAATTCCATCAAGGTTAAAACATAGGGCCATATAACAAAAGAAAACAATGCCAAAAAATTCCAGCAGGTATAACCTTTTGTGCTCAGACTAAAGGTGAGAGAGTGGAGGGGGGGGTCTGTGCTTCCAGGATAATTTAATTTTCTTGCCTTTCAAGGCGGTGGTTCCTTTTTTGATAAGAAGTAAAGTATAGTACTCACACTGACCCATGGATAAGTTGATTGTTTTTTGGGGGGCAATTTTTTACTAAAATTTCTAGATTTATACATGAGTATATACAGTATGCCTTTGCGTCAATATTGACCCATCATGACCCTATGGATGAGACCTCTCCAGGCCCCTCTGTTTTCTACTGCTCTGCCCAACTCCTGCAAACTCTTATTCATGGTCTCTTT